GTCGCGTCCCGGCCTGCGATGGTCATATTCGCTAGCATGGAGAACGATCATATTTCAGACCAGTATTATATGTTGTAAATAGTTAGGATTTCCCCCACCCCCCGGTCAGATTTTCCTTTTTTAATTTTTTGACAATAATTTTTCGGACGATTTCGACGTTAGGGATCTCGCTAAGGTCTACATAAAAGGGTGTATGTTTCATCAAAATCTGCAAGAAAAATCGAAAAATCGAAAAAAAAACAGGTCTCCTCACTGCATACTAATGTCCGCCACATAGCTTCCCAGTCAGCCATGTTGCTTCCCAGTCAGCCATGTTGCTTCCCAGTCAGCCATGTTGCTTCCCAGTCAAAGTTGTTGCTTCCCATGTCCCAGTCCATGTTGCTTCCAGTCTCAGTTGTAGTCATGTTGCTTCCCAGTCGCCATGTTGCAGTTGTTGCTTCCAGTCATGTTGCTTCCCCAGTCAGTCATGTTGTTGCTTCCCAAGGCCATGTTGCTTCCCAGTCGTCCTTCCAGTCGTGAGTCTGTCTTCCAGTCGGCCATGTTGCAGTCGGCCATGTTGCTTCCAAAGTCGTGTTGCTTCCAGTCGGCCATGTTGCTTCCCAGTCGGCCATGTTGCTTCCCAGTCGGCCATGTTGCTTCCCAGTCGGCCATGTTGCTTCCCAGTCGGCCATGTTGCTTCCCAGTCGCATGTTGCTTCCCAGTCGTGTTGCTTCCCAGTCGGCCATGTTGCTTCGGCCAGTTGCTTCCAGTCGGCCATGTTGCTTCCAGTCGCCATGTTGCTTCCCAGTCGGCCATGTTGCTTCCCAGTCAGCCATGTTGCTTCCCAGTCGGCGATGTTGCTTCCCAGTCAGCCATGTTGCTTCCCAGTCAGCCATGTTGCTTCCCAGTCAGCCATGTTGCTTCCCAGTCGGCCATGTTGCTTCCCAGTCGGCCATGTTGCTTCCCAGTCGGCCATGTTGCTTCCAGTCAAGTCAGCCGTGTGCTTCCCAGTCTAGTCAGTTGTTGCTTCCAGTTGTTGCTTCCAGTCTGTAATAGTCGGCCATGTTGCTTCCCAGTCATGTTGCTTCCAGTTAGTCATGTGCTTCCCAGTCATGTTGCTTCCCAGTCGGCCATGTTGCTTCCCAGTCAGCCATGTTGCTTCCCAGTCAGCCATGTTGCTTCCCAGTCGGCCATGTTGCGTTCTTATTATTTAACTTTATTTTATCATCACTATCATCATAAAGTTTTCATTGTGGTCTTTACTAGCATAATTAGAATTATCACCATAATTTAAAATTAATTGATCGTAGACTTGAGACTGCCACAACCGCTTCTCAGGGTTACAAGCAAACAAGCAATACACAATCGAATTGTAAACCTATTTTACTAGATGTCTTATCACTCTCCCGATATTCCCTCAACAAATTCAGACACAAACGCACTTCTATGCGTGGTTCATTTTAAGACCCGTCACTGCCCCACGTGTACTAAGAGATACACCTTTTAACACGTTAAATGCAGACCAACAAGAGAAGTAACATTTCGTACATTGTCCTTGCATGTGTGAAGCAAGGCCTTTGCCATAGATTTTACCGTATAACTTCATTCGTATGGACAATTATCTGTTTCGTGTGATTTCATGATGAAAGACCGTTATGTTACTTTTAGAGAAAGAAGTGTTACCGAGTCATATAACAGCGTAATGCCTTTTCTACACAAAATAACAACAACAAAAACTGTGTAAGACAGAACTCGTACCAGAACTGTGCTTTGGGGAAAGACCTGAAGCCGCCAAGTGCCAACAGGAAAATAAATCCGTAGTCTCAACAGGCAGCCAACTTGCCTGTGAAACTTTCGCTTTCCAAACGGGTCATACAAACACACACACACGCGCAATCACCCACTTTTTCATCCTTTTACGCACTCACTCACTCGTTCACACACAAACGCATGCATTCACATTCTTTCATCCTTCTACGCACTCACTCGTTCGCTTTCACGCACAAATACACATGCACACACGCAATCTCTTGCATCCATTTATGCTCACACACACACAAACACTGCAAACTTATTAAAGGCATAAATGACACTAACAATTTTAATTAGAAAAGTGATTGTGAGAGTGAATACTACAGTAAAAAAGTAATTATGATTATGAAATGATATTGATAATAATAATTGAATAATAATAATAACTAGAAGCACTCAAAGAGCGTATATCATACGCGGAGGTGGGGGCTAGGGGGTGGGGAAGGGAGCTGGGACGGTCGCTTAGTGTAGCGATTTTGAAGCTAATTAAATTGATTAGTAGGGGTAACTCATTTAATCTACCAGCTACCACCAAGGAGTCGCATACTCCTGAACTTAAAAAAAATAATGTTAATGTTACTGTAACTGTTATTTATCTTTACGTCTATCTTTTGAGGCAGGTTTTCAGTGTTCATTTATTTATATAGACATTTTATTAATTTTTTTTCCACTTATAATTACGATTAAATTAAGAATAGTATATATGAAGGGATAAGGTAAAGAATACGTTACACAAAAAATATATATTGAATATTATTCAATACAACAATAGAAACGAGTAATGACAAATGAAATATATAAAAAGAACAAAACACAATGTACACATTTCACACATATATATACGACGGATGGTCACTTACGGTCACGATCATTCACGATTAAGGTCACTAAGGTCGATCACAATCACGATCACTAAAGTCAATTACGATCACGATTACGGTTACTGGCACTCGCTAGCGCTCGCGTTATTCTGAACACTTTGGTAAAGTCGATAGCGCGCAATGTGGGATACATAACCTGTGTTGTCCGTCTCTGCTCTCCGGTGTCTCTCGTCTGACGGTACATTCTTCTGCTCCTGCGATGTCAACCTCACGCGGGTAAAAACACCGCGTACTGTTTACTTGTTGCTGTTGCTCAGTAGTTCGCCACTTCGGACTGGCTCGTTAGGTTGTTGGGCGCCGTCCGAAACGAGCGAAATGTCACCCTCCTTCCATGGTATATCGGCTGCGTTCGAAAAGCACTGAAAACAGGAGGTGGCGGTCGAGTGCGGTCAAAAGTGGTTACCACTTTTGACCGCACTCGACCGCCTAATGTAGTGGACGATGCGTCCACTACATTAGGACGCGGGGGTAGGGGGTAGGGGTGGGGGAGCTGGGAGGGTCGTTTTTTTCAGCAGGATAGGAAAGAGAAGAGTCAGGGTCGTTGATCACGGGCACAGGCAGAGAGGGTGTGGAGGTAGATTCACTGAACATTCAGGCTTGAGAAGCAGACAAAAATGAGGATTATAATGATAATTATCATCATTACTACTACTACTACTACTGCTTCTACTATTACCATAATCACTCATTGCCATTATCATTATCATCACCACTCTCATTGTCATTTTTATTATTCGTCCTAAACATGGGATGATTACCCACAGCAGACTCATGAGATATTTAACAAAAGGGAAAGTTTGCTGGAAGACTAGTCAAGGGCAGGGCATGTGAGCGACCATCTTGCGTCTTGCCACCTATTCTTTGGAGAACATTCCGATCAGCTGATCCATTTTGTTTTCTATTTGACTGTTGCTTTTGATGGAATTTTCTTGTTGAGTCGGTCTTAGGCTGGACGTGCAGGAGCTGATTGACCCTTGATTAATTGTTATGTCTGCTGTGGATAAATGGTTGATCATTGATTGATTGTTATATATTATATGAGTCTGCTGTCGGTAAACCTGATCCCATGTTAAGGACGAATGATAGTGGTGATAATAATGATAATAGCATTGAATGATTAGGGTAATAGTTGAAACAGTGGTAGTGGTATTAGTAATCATATTAATCATCACCATTATAATTATAATTAATACTATCATTGTTGTTTTGTTCTTGTTATCATGATGATAATGATCATAATCATTATCATCTTTATCTTCATCATAATCATTATTATCACAAAAAAATGGCAATAATAATGATAAAGAAATGACAATAATAAAAATGGCGACAAGAATAATGATAATTAAATAATGAACTGAAATAATACAGATGTGTATCCAAGAGCGCTAATCACATTTTCATTTATCTATTATCTTTTTGAACTAAAAATATGCAGAAAATTATTATTTGTTAATCACTGTAAATTAATATAACTTGCAAACAATTTCTTTTTATTCTTGTACATTTCATACGTTTACACACACACGCACGCACTTGAAATAAATAAATTAATTAATAAAGATTGTGGAAAAGAAGTAAGAGCACAAAAATAGCATATAAAAGCATCGGAAACTGGAGCCTTACTTGCTTTATCTGTTGATCGTCGAAGCAAATTGGTGTTTTCAGTTTAACAGAATATACATGTAATATCTATAGATTCCTTATTCATTAGTTTTATGCTTGTGTGTGTGTGTGTGTGTGTGCGCGCGCGCGCGTGTGAGTGAGTGAGCGAGTGATTGCGTGTGTGCATGTGAAGCTGTATTCCCAAATTAAAGAAAGAGAAAGTGTTCGGCCTTTGCTGGAGACAGGTCTTGTGAGGAGACTGTATTCTCAAAATCGCATTTAAGGTGTGAGTTCTCCCTGCTTGCACACGTTATTTTGCTTTGTGTAATTAAGCGATTTCTCAGTGAAATGTGACGTTATTTTCATTAACATGCAAGACTAGCTTTTTCATATATAAAATTACATGACAAACGTATCTGTGTGTGAAAGGATATAGTGAAATCTGAGATAATAGCATTTGTTCACACACGAGGACAGTGCTAAACAGTGGCGTTTATATACATAGACTATAATTAACGCGTTAAAAGGTAGTATCAATGTTTAGTACACGTGGATGATTTAAAGTGAGTTTGTGTATCTGACTCAGAAGGCAAAACGTCGCAGGAGTGGTCAGAGCTGTAGGTTAAAAGCAATAGAGTGAATAGACTGCTTGGCTGCGTGTAACCCAGTAACAAGAGTTTAACAAGCAGTTGCAGTAAATCTGGTCTATTGCCTATTCACCGTGTCATTGATAAGTGTGATATCTATTATTCTAATGGTAATTAGGGTGATGGTTATACTGCAACTGATGATTATGATGATAAAAGGAAAATGGAAAAAAATGTTTGCAGTGATAACAGTACTACATAAAATTATGATGAAAATGACAAAATATTCCATCCAGTTAATTATTTGATTATTAGTTTTATATTAGAATATATTGTAATAACAGATACATCTGTTGTTTTTTTATCACAACAGCAGCACAATAACATTTCTAGTTTTTGTTTAACAGGTAAAATATGAATGTGGCATCTTTTTTTATTATCATTATTTTAAAGTAGTCAGGACACAAACTGGTTTTCCATCCCCTGTTTTCGCAATATTTTCAGTTATTTATCATGTGTGTATGTGAGTATGTACGAAATTTTATAAACAAACTTTCTGACATATTCATGGAAACAAAGAGACAAAGAAATTGATGACACACGTGCACACACAAACACACAGGAAAGAGTAGTATAGTTTTATTCAAAACCTTGGCCAAGCTTGATTTCGTAAACATATAACGACACGACGGTTAAATAACTAACTCTTCGCAGGACGCACCACACATGAAGATCCCCGCCCTCCTCCTCTTGCCCTTTGTCCTCCTTAGCAGCGACGCCTTCGGAAGAGTTGCCGAAGGAGAGTCGGACCGAAGGGCCACCCGCGAAGAGGCCGGAGAAACGGCATCTTCTGAGTATGCAGGGGAAGTCTTGACCCCATGGGAGCCGAGCTCACGGCCACTGGAGCGGAGAAAGAGACAACTCTGGATACAAAGCCGGAATCAAGGTTGGTGCCTGAAAAGGTTTCAGATTTGTATCCGAGATAATATATATATATATATATATATATATATATATATATATGTGTGTTGTGTGTGTGTGTGTGTGTGTGTGTGTGTGTGTGTGTGTGTGTGTGTGTGTATGTATATATATATATATATATATATATATATATATATATGTGTGTGTGTGTGTGTGTGTGTGTGTGTGTGTGTGTGTGTGTGTGTGTGTATGTGTATGTAATGTATATATATATATATATATATATATATTATATATATATATGCACACACAATATATATACATATATATATAAATTATATACACAATATATATATTTATATATATATATATATATGTATATATAATATACATAATATATATATATATATATATATATATATATATATATATATATATATATATATATATATATATATGGGGGGAGGTTCTCAAAGCACCAGGAGGGCCCAGATGTACAGGGCCATGGTCCACTGACATGTGGACATGCCCTGACTCTTTATGAACTCCTGCCCCTCAGCCCCCTTGGGTTAATGGGTGGCTCGGGGGAGATGGGCCTTGGCAGTCCTCCCCGCAAATATAACTCATCGGCAGTGTTCAGTATAAACGAAAATGGTAGGGAGAGGGGAACTGTCCCTCTCACCCAGCAATTGAGGCAGACTAAGGGCCTCATCGGGAGGGCGAATGCTGGGGTGTAAGATCGAAATGGGAGCTTCTCGTCCTGCCTTTGTTCTGGCAGCCGCTAAAACAGTGTGAAGCTTGATGGACAAGGCCCAAAGGAACCCCACAGGCGGATGTTGGGTCCTACAGCCTGCCACCCCCCTTTATACTAGGCAATGGGGGTGGCAGAAGTAGTATCCACCTGGAGTGTCTGCCTGAGGTTAAATCTCAGGTGAGACTCACGGCGGGGGCTTGGAATATCCACTCTTTGCATTATGGTGAATGGTTGCCATTACTGTTGAGGGAACTGAAGCGGCTGAGAGTTGAGGTGGTGGCTCTCTTGGATGTGAGAAGACCTGGTAGCAGCAAGATCAATGCGGGCTACAGGTATTACTGTTCGGGCTGCAGTGATGGCCACCATCTTCAGAGAGTAGTCATAGCCATCTCCAGCAGACTTCAGCCGTCGGTAGAAGAGCTTACTCCAGTCAGTGAGCGTACAATGGTTTTGAGACTGAACCATTCAGTCTGTAACTCGATGTGAAAGAACTTGCATTTGTGTTGGACAGTTGTCCTTGGCGAGATATTCGTTTTGTTCTGGATGACTTCAATGCGGTATCTGTCTCCTTTTATGGGCTATTGAAGGTCCAAGAAATTGAGGATTTCTGGCTCTTGGCACCAGCACTCTGACTCATATCGTTGGACGTGGTACAGTGATGTGGGTAATGCAGCAAGGAGATCGACCCCATCCTCATAAGCATTTGTTGGAAGATCCTCCAGAACTACAGAGTATATAGGAGTGGCGAATTCTGTGATACTGACCATAGATTAGTTGTGGCTACCCTCCGGGTCCACTTCAAAACTCCCCAGTGGTCCAATGACCATTTGAACAGGCTAAGGGGTGGGGAGTGTGCCTGATGGATTGCTGAGGCAATTTCTGGTCGTTTCACAGTGCTTGACAACCTGAAGGACCCTGTAGTTCTATGGGACACCTTTAAGCGTGAGAAGCACAATGCAGCTCAAGAATTAGTTGGGGAACGCCCAAGAGCAAGATAGAATTTTATCTCGCAGGAGATACTGGAGGCTACAGTGCCGTGTGGCATGTCTGGAAGGGGATTGGGATTTGCATCATTCTCAGGTGCACAGGATCAATATTGGGAGTCTTACAGAGGATTACAGACCATTTCTTAGACCATGTCTTGCCTACCAAGCACTCAGAAAGCTGAACTCCAAGCCATCTTCACAGGTGATTGCAATCCACTCAGTAAGTGGACAGATCGTCTCAGATCCCGTTGCAGTGCAGGAGTGTAGGGCTAATTTGAGCAATTGCACTTGGTTAACTTAGATGTGGGTAGTGTCGAGATTCCATTGATGAACCCACCCATCAGTGGGGATCCACCCTCCATAACTAAAGTTACAGGGGCAATCTCCAAACAGAAGAGTTGTAAAGCAATTGGTATCTGTGGCATACCAGTTGAACTGTTAAAGGCTGGTGGTGAACCTATGGCACAGGGGTTGCATGCTGTCCTGACTGCTATCTGGCTGTCTGGTATCGTTCCCTCTGACCTGTTGAGGGGTGTGGTACTCCCTCTCTGGAAAGGGAAAGGGGATTGATGGAATTGCAGCAGTCACCATGGCATTGCATTACTCAGTAAACCAGGCAAGTTTCTTGCTCACATTCTTCTGAGACATGTCAGAGACCACATTCTGAGGCACTAGGGCCCCGAGCAATCAGGATTCTCTCCTGTTAAGTGCACATTAGACTGTATCCTGACGCTTCCAGTCATTGTAGAGCCCACCATTAGTTCGGGCATGGGCTGATTGCAGCCCACATAAACCTGAAGGTGTTCGATATGGTGCATTGGGAATCAGCCTGTATCTTGGTACTAAAAGTCCTGTAAAGTGTTCAGGAGTGAAGCAAGGCTGTGTCCTTGCACTAACACTTTTCAACTTGTATGGACTGGACACTGGGCAGAACTATTATTCAAAGTCATTGTGGAGCAACACTGGGTAATATCAAGGTTACTGACCTTGACTTTACTGATAATGTTGCTATTCTATCTTAGTCTTTGGAAACTCTAGTGGTGGCTCTAGATACATCTAACAATGAAGCAAAGCCCCTGGGTCTAGAGTTTTCTTGGACCAAGACCGATATCTAAGACTTTGTGGAATTACTAGGGGAACCATTCGGTTGGTTCTCCTAGTGTGTGTATGTGTTAAATATATGAGTACATTTATTAATGTATGTGTATATATGTATACACACATACATATATATACATATGTATACATATGTTTATACACACACACACACACACACATATATATATATATATATATATGTGTGTGTGTGTGTGTGTGTGTGTGTGTCTGACCCTTCACTTCCAACCACGGGGGTTCCTCATAACAAGCCGCTATGCAGGCCCTTGGTATATCTCTAGCTCCTCGCAACAGGTTTGGTCGATCTGCCCAAGCCACGACCTCTTTCGTTGTCCCATTGGGCCTCCTCCACCCAGAATTGTCTTGTGAATAGACAAACTGACGGGCAGATTCATCCATCAAGCTAGGTGCCGTATTGCCAGAGTTGAAGATCCCGGATTATGCAAATAACAGGTCATTTGTCACTTGTACCTAATTATCTGGGACTAGATGGTGTTCAAGTTTCACTTCCATTGAGGAAAACTAGCAGTATCAAGGACTTATAGGCACACAACTTAAGGGGCAGTCACACTATTCTCATCTGTCCAGAGATCCTAAGACAAAATGGGATGCTTCCCAAGCTTTAATGGGATCTGATATAAAGATCCCCTAGCCAGCACGGAACTGCTGTGTCAGTATTTATCCCTAGCTAGACCAGGAAAGACACTACCGAAACAAAAACTATGATATAAGTACTTTTAAACTCATGACTTAAAATCCTAAAAACTGATTATATCATGTTAAAGACAATCCATTCTTTAGATAATATATATTGTATCGAACAATGATGTCCCATTAATTCTTTAAAGATAAATCAAATAAACGTTCATTTGACCAACAAATATAAACACCAACCCACTCCCACGCACCAAAGACATGGAGGCCTCTTGTGAGCCAAAGAGTCACTGTAGCTGACCAGACTTCGGCGAGGTTGTCAAGGAATCCCAGGACAGAAGACTAGTGTGACTGCTTACACACACACACACACACACACACACACACACACACACACACACACACACACATATATATATATATATATATATATATATATATATATATATATTATATTATATATATGAAACTGAAACAGTCAATTGAAAATACATGTAACATTTCGAACTCTTCACAAATTCCTATTCAGACAAATAATAAACCGAAATGGTGTGTGTGTATGTGTGTGTGTTATATATATATATATATATATAAATATATAATATATATATATATATATATATATATATATATGCATATATAAAGCCTCGGTTCAACTGGCCTAGTGTTAGCGCTGGTATGTCCCCAAGTGCGGCTCTGTGGGCT